TTCGTGAAAATATTCACCCCCTGTCATGTGTCCACGAGAAGTTTTCGCGAAGATTGCGCGTGACTTTCAAATGATTTGTTTTTTATTTTGAACCTAAATGGTATACGGGAGGGTTTTTCCTTCCAAATGGGACAAATGTTGTCAATTTTTCGATTGGGACTATTTTACAATGAAGTACTCTTGGATACTGTAATCTAAATACATATGAAAACGAAGAAGTGACATTTATCGGACAGAGAAGCGGCGAGCCATTAAAATGGCGGCAATTTGACGAAATATCGAAGGACACAATATCGAAGATAAAATACACTGCACTGTCTCACAACTTGATGAAACTTGGTTGAAATATTCATTAGCCCTTTATGATTATGTAAAAGTACAACAACTGGATGATATTTGCGAGACTCGGCGATAAAAAGCAAACAAGACAGCAAGGTATGGCTGAAATCGTGTTTTCGTGGGGGGTAAGTGAAATAAAATGTGTTATATTAAAAGAAAACAATGACAATCCTTATGAAATCCACAATAATTATATTGAACTAAGCATAGTTTTTCATCCCACGATAATTTGTTTTAGGAAATAAGAAAATTTAATTTCTGCCAGGCATATTAGTTATTTTGTGCATAATCAGCAATTTACCTGGGGTGGTGCATAGTCATTTTCTGGTAAAGTATCATACTAAGACAATTTTTTGCTTCCAATGACCACCCCTAAAAGCAACCCTTCTAAACACTATATAAGCACTTCAGAAAGGCTATCGCTTTTCCTTTTCGGAAGTTAGAGCTATGTCGACACTGCCATTTCAGGGCGGGGTCATTTTCAGGACTTTCGCCCCGGATTCAGCTTTTCGCACATATGCCATGTTGACCGCCATGGTCATTTTACCCGAAAACAGTTGAGATTACCTGTCCTAAATGAATCGCATACAAACTCATATACAGGTCCTAGACTACATGGAAAGTTAGGGCTTAGAACCGACCAAAGTGAATGACGTGACGTATGCATGTAGCTAGTGTACATGCATGTACCAGTGTATCAATGAATTATTACTGGAAAAAATTTTGAAATTCCATAGAAGTTCATAGTATGGAAATTGAATGGATCTTTATTGGAAATAGAATGGATTTTGGTTATCCATTATAATTGTATATTTCCATAGTATGGATATAGTAAGGAAATAGTATGGATATACTATGGATTTAGTGCTGCAATTGCAAATTTCGTAGTATGGATTTCACTTTTTTTTCCAGTGTATGACTGTACAACTCATCCAATTTTGCCCTTCAATACAATTATTACAAAGTTTCTTTCAAAACATTGCATTAAAAAGGTACTTGACACACAGATGAATGGCTATCACTGTTTCAATTTTACAGAAAAACTTTGTTACGAAGTGTAGACCCTAAGCAACCAAAAAATGTCAAAATTTTACTTTGATCTTTCTTTGAAAATTTTCCAAGGGGAGGTCATGACTTTTCAGGGGAGGTGCAAAAATTCTCAGGGGAGGTGCAAAATGATCTCAGGGGAGGTGCGCACCTCCCCACACCTCCCCTCAAAATCCGACCATGATCTTAAGTTAGAAAGTTTTCTCGATGGAAGTATACCTGCAACCCCTAGCTCCGTTGCAAGGTCAGCTTATATCAAACCCAGCCTTTGGCCATTCCCCAATCATATGTGTTTTCACTTGGATCATCGTGAAACGCAGCACGATAATGTCAATTGTTCCCATATTTCTCATTTCCAAACTAATTTTCGCCATGCGGTGAACGTCCTGAGGGTGGCGCACTATACTGTTCTTTGCCGCTGGTACAGTGTTCCTCTAACATGTTGTATCCGTCCAATGTGGTATTTTCAACAGGTTCGACACATGGAACAAATCCTATCAAAGGAGGTCCATTTAACCACCGCCAGCGAACAAGTTCGCTTACTACCAGCTTCACAGACTCAGAAGATCCATTACGATTATCGTTTGGTGATTTAAAGGAACCTGGATCAGATTATGAGGTTGTTGACAGCAACTAAACTAAACTAAAATAGTTCTGTTTAGACTAGTCGATAGTTTTGTCACATCTAAGCTGTATTTTACATAATATATATCTGCATTCTGTTCGTCTAAATATGATGCTCGTGATATTAATTTTTCTCCTTCAGAGATCACTATCAACCTCAAGACGTTCATCGATCACAACTAACTTCATGGCTGAAGAAACAAGACGTGAAAAAGAACTGGAACGAATATTGGAAAGTCGTTTGAATGATCTTAAGTTAAGTACGAAAAATGTTCTGACAGGTCTTCCCACGAGGTAAAAACGTGTTAACGTTGTTTGCACAAGAAACATTTTGTAAAAATATTACATTTTATTGAAAGTATATTTATAATAACGGGACAAGATCATTTCAAATTTCCAGATGTTCTTCATTACTGATACTGGTCGAGAGACTGGTAACGGCCTCTAAATCTCAAAAGAGTGGCAGTAAACTAATCTAAGACTATAAAGTATACAATTATGCTCTGTTTCCACGTTTGTCGAGTATTATTAACATTACTTCCAACTTTAGCATGTTATTTAAGATAAAGTTTAATTCAATGTTGTTCTTAATATTTCTTTTCTATAATTTCGTGCCAAGTTGAAGTAATCACAGCCAGCCATGTGTTTTCTTAAAACTGCATCTTCGTGCGGCGAGCATACAGCCTGCCAAGTCCTGTAAAAACTGTGAATAAATCATTCTACATTTAGACCACTTATATAAATATCATTGGAAATTTGAAATCATTGGCTGCATGGGGCAATAATATAGAGAAATGCCTATTTCTGACTTTTATTGGAGAAAGAGTTGTACTTGTTTTAATACTTGTTTTACCATATTTAACATTGCGCATTGTACACGACATTATACAATTTGTTTAAATGTACTGTTTATAAACGAAACGTGTACTGCAAATATATAGCATTATTTTATATAACTATATTATTTTATATATTTATTTATATATATATATATATATATATATATATATATATATATATATATATATATATATATATATATATATATATATATATATTATTATTATTATTATTATTATTATTTAATTAACTTGTCAGGGATCCTTTTTCTCTAATGTATAACAAAGTTCTCCTTGTCGCATCTTAACAAAGTGTGGTCTACTGCTCAATCAAAACTTCCGAAAAACATTTATAACTTTACTATACGCTATATATGAATAACCTCTCTTCCGCGCGACACGCAAGAACCTTAGCAGATGGAGATTGTCTTCAAGTTCAGAATGCTCCTTTTGTCTCGTCTCAGAATCATTACTACACGTGGTTGCTGGATGTCAGAGTTATCTCGATCGATTTACGTGGAGGCACAATTCAATCCTGAACTCACTTGCCAATACCTTGGAAACTGTGAACGGTTCTGCCCTCTATATGCTGATGTGCCTGGATTAAAATGTCCGTCAATAATAACTGCATGGTGATACGTATCGCCCGGATTTGTTGCTATCATTATCAAATGGCTCTCTTTATGTGGTCGAGCTCACTGTCGGCTATGAGACAAACCTCGAGAACAACGTTAAACGGAAAAAAGCCAAATATAGAGAGCTAGTAAAACAACTAGATGAAAACTTAAAGAAGTAAACTTTATAAATCTTTCCATGAGCTCCCTAGGTATTTTTGCGCAGAATGCTCTATATTCTTAGAAATGTTAGGAAATGTTGGTCTCGACAAAAACTACCGAACGTGAGATATACTATATACCGAGCCAAGGATTCAAGGCTCAACAATATTGTTCAATATTGTTGACAAGTTTGAACAACGTGGGCAGCAAAACATTGTTCAATCCTGTTGAGCAGTGGGCTTGGCGTTTTTTTCCGTGTACATGACAAGGGGGGGGGGGGGGGGGGGGA